AGTCACTAGGAAATTAGTTTGGCTACTATTTTTACCTAACTTCACTTTTATTTAATATTAAATAAAAATAAGGTTATATTTATAAACAGTGTTTTGTCGTGAAAGTTAAAAACCTTTAAAATGGAAAAAAAAGATCTGCAAATTACACAGAGAGGGAGAAAGAGCATTTACTTTCTCTAGTAAAACAAAATTTAAAAATAATTGAAAATAAGAGGACGAATGCAGTTTTCAACAAAGAAAAATTGCAATGTTGGGAGAAGTTGGCTTGGGAATATAATGCCAATCAAACAACCGGATTTCTAAGTGGATTGCAATTGAAAACTGCATATGAGCAATTAAAAAAACATGCGAAACAGCATAAGGCTCAGGAGAAGGTATACATTTAATTAAGTTATTAAATATAGTGAGTAATTGAATATTATTTTAAGGTTGAAATGCAGAAAACTGGAGGAGGAATATTTGTTCCCAAACTCACAAATCTGGACAATAAAGTTCTAGAGCTGATAGAAGATAATTTTTTTTTCTATAGAGAATGAGTTCGACAGTAACAATTTGGATACAGAGATGCGACAAAGCACCAGCCAACCCGAAGAAGAAATTATTTCTGTTGTAGAAAATAATGAAGAAATATCCACAATAGATGAGCCACCCAAGAAAAGGGCAAAGAAAAGTAGTACTAAAATTAGCCAAGCACCCATTACAAGCACTGAGGAGTGCGAAAATAATATTAATTTGGTAAATAATCCAGATCTTGAGGAAGGCACTAAAAGAAACATAACAAGTGGAAATAAACGGAAACTCCCAGCTGCAGTTCTCTTAAATAATAAAAAACTAGAAATATTAAAAAAAAAGATGACTATCTTAGAACTAACAGAACAGTCTGAAAGAGAAACAATAAAGGGAAAAAAACTTCATAATGATATTAAGGAAATAATGAAGGAAAGAGAAAAAATTGAACTAAGGATAAAACAAACACTTCTTTTAGAATGATTTTTACCATTCTTCTCTTATTTTTATGTATGTTAATATTTTTTATATATGAATAAAAAAGTTTAAAAAAAATGCAGTCTTATCAAACAGATTTCTATTTAAAAAATCTGATGTGTCCAACACATGACTTTCCTATCTAGTTATTACGTAAAAACAAAAAAAATCAGAATTTTGCACATTTTGTCAAATTTCTCGAATACGGACCATTTTAGGAAAATTTTGCATAAAACAAAAATTATAGATAATTATATAAGAAGTAACTTTTATTTGAAGAATTTTCTTCTCCAAACGTAAATAACAGATATATTCCATAAAATATAAAAATGACCACTCATAAAGTACCCCCCAGATGTTCCGACTCTGTCCAAAATCAAATCAGCTCATTGGACGCTAAAACAAAGCTTAAGTTTAAAATTTGGTGTTTTTCTGTGTATCGGTTCATGAGTTAGGCGTTATACACACAAACACACACACACACACACACACACACATACACACACACACACACACACACACACACACACACACACACACACACACACACACACACACACACACACACACACACACACACACACACACACACACACACACACACACACACACACACACACACACACACACACACACACACACACACACACACACACACACACACACACACACACACACACACACACACACACACACACACACACACACACACACACACACACACACACACACACACACACACACACACACACACATCGCGAAAATAGTCAAAACGGATTCAAGGGACCTCAAAACGTAAAAATCATTCCAAAAATTGGGGTCGAAAAAAATCATGATTCCTATACTTTCCTTATATCTGTATACAGATAGGAAAGTAAAAAGTGTAGATCTACACAAAAATATTATTTATCAAAGTGTCCCTTGTTGAAGTATTTTCATGTAGTGGAGGATCATAATGAACTACCAAATCGTCAATGTCTAAATCTGCTCCAAGTAAGTCTTCTACAAGGTCGTTTTCTCTTTTGCACAGATTATGTAAAACAGCAGTTGCTGTTACTACTTCACAAGCTCGCTGTATGTTTATTCTAAGCCCTAATGATAAGCATGGAAATCTTTTTTTCCATATTCCGAATAATCTTTCAATCTTTTTTCTAGTTGTGATGTGCGCTCTGTTATAACGCTCCTGGGCTCCTGTTTGAGGATTTATGGGTGTTATTAAATATACTCTACATGGATATCCGCCGTCTCCAATAAGGATATAAGGATAAAATTCATTATTTTCAAAGCGTGCCCTTATTAAGGAGTCATCAAAAATTGTTGTGTCATGAACAGGGCCTGGCCATCGAGCAATCACATCTAAAATTTCTAAGTTAGCGTTACCAACTACTTGGGTATTGATACTGAACCAGCCTTTCCTATTTCTGAAGACTTCTGCATTGTTACCTCCTGGGGACAAAATTTTGACATGAGTGCAGTCTATGGTCCCTACAACTCCAGGCAATCTAGCTATACCGTAAAAAGATGAAACAATTTCTCTTTTTTCATCATCTGTGTCTGGCATCCTAATAAACTCAGGGCAAAGGCTAGCTATACTTCTTGTAATTGTTTGAACAATGCGTGAGACAGTCGATTGCGAAACTGAAAAAATATCACCAATACTTGATTGAAAAGATCCAGTGGCATAAAATCTCAGCGCTATTAAATTTTGGTTTATTTTTGCTATTGGTTGGTTTCTATTATTCACTGGCTCGTCAATATCTTGTAAAAAATTTGCTAAAGTTCTTACTGTGTTCATATTTAAACGAAATCTCTTCTTGAATTCAACGTCATTTAAATCGTCAATTGGATTTTTTCTTACTTGTACTACCCTTATTCTGGAAATTTCATCTTCGCTCTCTGATGATGATGAAGATAATAAATTAAAATTTATTCTGTCCATAATATTTGTAATGTGAATAATGATAACAAAAGCTTGATTGACACAGCTTGTTAACTTACATAACAGGCCGTTTTTGGATTGATAACTTAACAAAGTATTTAACAGATTGTTAATTATTTTTTGACATGGTGCATAACAAATCTGAATTTTAACAGTCTGTTATCATACTTGACAACCTGTTAATGATTAACAGAAGAATGGTGAATACGACCGTAAGTGAATAAGATTAATATTATGTAGCTTGTGAACAAAAGGTAAGACGAATAATTATATTTCATATGTATAGGGTCATCACGTAAGAAATAACTTTTTTGCTTGTCAAGATACGACTTTTTTTTTATTCAAAAGCTGTTGGGCCCTTTCAGTTCAGATACGTTAATGTTATTTTATACACTATAAAGTGAGTCGCATAAAATAAAAACTTTCCGTATTTTGACAAATAAAAAAGGCATAGACCCGGAAAGGACATTCTCGCGTGATAACCCTGACTTATTAGGTAATAGATATTGGTGTTGGTATACTTACATATAAGTAGATATAAATAAAAAGCAATTTTTAAAAATAATACAAAATTTTATACTGTACCTACTTTTCAGAAGAAAAACGATATGTGGAACTTCTGCTTCTTAATTAATTTGTATTTTAAAATATTTTTTAGGTTGAAATGGAATTAAAACGGAGTGAAATTTGGCTTCATATTACAAGTTTATCCTTGGTATCAGATAAATGCAATATTTGTGAGTCCAAATATTCATATAAAGGAGGTTCGGCCTTAAATTTAATGAAACATTTAAAGTCAAAACATCACACTTTTTTGAGCAAAACTGGCAAACCACCTCAACCTCGAGCCTCGACAAAAGAAAAATATATTAAAGATAAAACTACACTAATACCTACCTATTTAATCCAATACCATGTATTTAAGAGCTGTTTTCTAAAGCTAAAACTATGCAAAATTTCAACTGTTTTGGTTTTTAGAGAAAACTGGATCCATTTCGACGACTTTTTTTGGTCGAAGACGGTTGTTAACTTCTAACTGCAGTGAGTCTAGTGAGAGCGCCAATGAAGACCACGCTAGCGCCTCAGCTTCAACTATACCGAAATCAATTTGTGGATAAACTGAAACTACTTTAATATTAAGTGGCACTAGCACTAGGACTAAAGGTAGCACGAGTCAAACATCCTTAAAAAGAAGAAATGGTTAGTCGCAAATACATACCTCAATTTTAAGTCATGTAGTGAGGCCGATTTCTTTACCAAGGCAGCAAAAAATTAATGATTTAATTATGAACATGATAGTAAAAGACTTACTACCTTTATCAATCGTTGAAGATAGGGGGTTTCGGGAACTAATTAGGGGTCTGGAGCCCTCCTTTGTCATACCGAGCCGCTTTACGTTTACTAATTCATTCCTGCCGCAAAAGTATGAACAAAAAAAAAGAGAAATTGAAAAATTTAATTTCAAAATCTGATTCAGTTGCTCTAACTACAGACGGATGGACTGCTCAACATAGTCAAATGAGTTATATTTGTTATACCGCTCATTTTATAACCCCTGAGTGGACTTTACATTCTTGCTTATTAGAATGCGGACAATATGATGCAAGTCATACTGCTCAACATTTACAATTAGAATTATTTAGGATTGCAGAAGAATGGGGTATTTCAGACAAAGTTTTTTTGGTTACGACAGATAACGCCGCAAATGTTAAAGCAGGTGTAAGATTAACAGGATGGGGTCACATACGATGTTTTGTACATACTCTAAATTTAGTTGTGCAAAGCGGGTTGGAAATCTCAGATATTAAATCATCACGCAAAAAGGTTAAAACGATAGTGGAACATTTCCACAGAAAGACAAATGTCAAATGAAGGTTCGACGCCTTTAAAATGAATAAATGATGTTGTAACGAGATGGAATTCGACGTATTTCATGTTTGAAAGATTTTTGAAGGTTCGAGAGCCACTCGTAGCTACTTTGGGAATTTTAAATATTCCTGTTCAGAATCTGTTTGAAGAAGAATGGCAGTTGCTTAAAGACATTTGTTTAATTTTAAAACCATTTGGGCAGATAACAATGGAAATGAGCGCAGAAAAAAATGTTACACTATCAAAAGTAATCATAATTGTTAAAGGTTTGAAATCGGCAATTGTAAAGTTTAAGCAAGTAATAACAAATCCAGGAGCAAATGCGTTAATAATTCATTATGAAAAAGAAATATCTGAAAGGTTTTCGACTGTCGAAACTAATAATTTAATGGCAAAGTGTTTTATGTTAGATCCTAGATTTAAATCTAAAGTGTTCAGTTCTGATCAAACTATTAATATGGCTAAAGACTGGCTAGAAACGGACGTAGCTCGAATGATAAGCGTAAAACGTCGACATAATGATAATACCAATACTAACGATGGTAACACCGCAGATTGTGAAAACTTAATGGATTAAGAAGAAGAGCAGAATTAAATTTGGACCGACTTCGGTAAAATCTGCAAATCTCGAAAAGAAATTGATCCAGAAGCAGTGGCAATACTAGAAGTGCGTTCTTATCTAGCAGAAGACTTAATAAGTAGGAAATAAAATCAGTTGGATTGGTGGTAAGCCAGGGCGGCAATATATCCCCATCTAGCCAAATTGGCTCAACAGTATTTATGCATACTAGCGACTTCGGTACCCGCGGAACGGATATTTTCAAAAGCTGGACAGCTGATCTCAGTACGAAGGAGTCAATTGAAGGGAGAAAATGTTAAAATTATCCTTTTTTTGCATTACAACCAAGATTTATAAATTATTTTAAGATTTCTTTTTTTACTGTAATCTACATATACAGAATGTATTTTTCATTTTTGTTGTTTTTGTCCAAACTTTTTGTTTTTGAGATCTCATCTAAGATTGTTATTTTTGTCTCTATTTCTATTTACTTTTAGACTTTAAGTATGTATTTATTTGTATGTAAGGCATTCGATTTTTAAAATAAAGTTGTACACAGAACAGTTCCTACGTATTTCCTACCTTAATTTTTTTAATTTTGAAAATTTCAATTAAATATTTCCATAATATCAACAACAAAAATATACAAGTAAATGATCTTCGAATTAACGACAATTAATTGTATGATTGAATTGAATAATGAGTAAATGAGTACAGTTAGAGTAATCAAAGTAACGATAGTAACGAATATATTAAATGATTACTTAGTAGTCGAGAAACGATTAGTAACGAGTATTCAAAAGTAACGAAAATCAACACCTCTACTGTCCTAAGAAGAAGGCAGCTAGAGGAAGAACACGACTCGATGCGGGCTCGCGAAAATCCAATCAGCCAATGACAATGACGAATGACGATCTATATGCGCTGCAGGCAGCGCCAAGAACGCTGTCGTGGCGCCATATTCAAATATAGCGAAAAGAGTTGAATGTCCACGTTACCGACATATTTAAAACGTCCTAAAAACATCCCCACCAAAAGTTTTAAACATGTCCCAAGCAGGGCGTCTTAAAACCGTCAGTTTTAAGTTCCAGGACGTTTGGACGAAAGTAAGACATGAACTGGGCGTCTTTAAGATGTAGTGTGCTCTCTAGATATTATAAAATTAGGCTAGTAAGAAAAATTATACATAAATGAAGATAAATTTATCACTGACCCTTAACTAATACTAATTTAATACAATAACAAGAAGTTTAAGCGAACAACTATTTGTTATTATATTTTTTAGGATTTTGTTTAAGAACTTTGATTTGACTTGTTTTTTTTTTTTCTTTATTCTTTTCTACCTGCTGTAAAATTTGTCTTCTAAGCCGTTTTATGCTAGGGCTTTCTAGCATAGATTCCGTATTTGAAGTTCAATTTGAAGGGCCTGGCTCAACTTCCAAATGCAATGCTCTTCTTTTTAAGTACTACAAACAATCAATTATTACGGTAATGTTTTGAATTATACACAAAAGGGTTGCTAAATTCTTAAAAGTTTATAACATAATAATGAAAAGTAATTAAAAGTTTATATGTATTTAATTATATTTATATGTATACGCACCTTCTTCGGCTGCATGTATTTAAAGAATTTAGGAAAAATAGTGGGAACTGCTCCATTTTACAGTCCGTCCCATAAAAAAAAATGTATTTCAAAATTTTTTGAATACTATCATTTAGCGTAGGCATCAAATTTGCAATTTTCGTTGCCTAAATCAAAAGATTTATTTCCTGGATCCACAGGAAATCTAAAATAAAACAACAAATAAACATTGCTGCAATTAAATAAGAAGTAAAAGTAAATTAGGATTTAATAAAAGTTTATATTTAGAATTGTACGACACGCCACTGGAAAAAATTACATGTTTGGCCATTTTAATATCAATAATTGCTTAAATATCAAACTTGGAGGGTAAAATTTATTACTCTGGAGTGAGACATGTACAATATGTAAATATCAAGTTGTATAACACCAAATAAAATAAATATAAAAAATATATTAAGTGAAAACGATTTATGTTTATTATTTATCTATAAAACGTAATATCTGATTATTTCTTGTCGCTATAACTTTAACACTGATATGCCACACAATAAACCATTGTAATAAACCAATTATTAAATGTCGTTTAATTCAAAAATCAGAAATAAACACGAACAAAAACTTTGGTATCACCGAAATGATTAGCACCAAAATAATGGCAGCCAATAGATAATCGGCACAGAATACTACGTGTGCTCGATATACTTGTTACGCGTCCTCTCTTTATTAACTAGTCTAAGGGTATTCAAGACATAATTTGGTTTCAGCGACTGTCATTGTTGCAACTTCAGCTGGGTTCTTCTCTCGTGACACGGAGTCTACATATCGTTACCCTAATTAACAAACCTCGTAACTCCATTTTTGCCAAATTCACATTTTCAATACCAACTTGTAGAGAAAAAAACCGTTATCACATGTTTCAAACCTCATAAATCCAGAATAATATTATTCTGAGTTCTGGCTTCAGGATATGGTTAAACTCGTCTTAAAAGGCAGATTCTATTAATGGTACAACATACATGGTGATATACATATTTAAAAACCCAAAGTTACTAGTAATATAAGAAAAACGGTTAATGTGGCAACATTTCACATATCAGATCTGGAATTTTTTATTCCAAAATAGGCTCATTCCAAATTTTGTTGGACTACTCATTTAGAAAGTAATTATTAAGTGTTTTCAGACTTTTATTCCACTCCGTCTACATATGATACTAGAAGAACATTCTTTTGAAAGGGTTGATGTTACGATTGGGAAGACGGGCAAAGGTATAATACATCCCACTGTATTATTACAATTTTTTTTTCAGAATTAAACTTTTGGCCTGTAGTAATAAAAAATACCAAAAACAATAACAACATTTTTTTCGCTCACCGTTTCTTATATAATTGTGTGAATGTGACTAACCAAATACCTTATTTTTCATATTATTTAAATTTATTTAAATTATGACATCGATATTACTAATCTAATAATAGTAATATAAAAGAATTAAAACCATCTTTATTTATACTTTATTGGAGGAATAATACTTTCACTAACGATAATGTTTTGTATCTTCTGTTTTTAAAAGGTTAAAGTAGTAGATTGACCATTAATATTTATGAATACATGAATAACTCTATTTTTAACGAATCAATTAATAAAACTCTGATATATCCGACACATGACTTTCCTATCTAGTTATTTTAGGCTTTTTTCGGTTATTTGGTACAATCTATTGCAGCACCTCTATAAATGTTTAGAGGATAAACTAAATATATACATTTTCCACATACATCTAAATCGAAACATTTTTTTATAGATATTCATTGAAAACGAAAATACTGAAAAAAATTAATCTAGCACTTTTCCTCCAATTTTTCCATTACGGTCCATTTTAGAAAAATCATGTAAAAAAACAAAAATTATAGAGATCGATGTCGCAAACAACTTTTAGTTTAACAATTTTCATAAAAATCAGAATTTTGCACATTTTATCCAATTTCTCGAATACGGACCATTTCAGGAAAATTTGGCATGAACCAAAAATTATAGAAGAATTTTCTTTTCCAAATGTAAATAACAGATATAATCCATAAAATTTAAAAACGGCCTCTTATAAAGTACCCCCCAGATGTTCCGACTTTGTCCAAAATCTAATCATTTCACCTCAGGCCGAAATAAAGCTTATGTTTAAAATTTAATGTTTTTTCCTTGATCCGTTTTTAAGTTTTCTTCAAAATTCGTAATTTACAAATTTTCTCAAATATCTCGAATAAGATTCATTTTAGAGAAATCATGTATGGGATAAAAATTATAGAGAATTATATTACAAATAACTTTTATTTGAATAATTTTTATAAAAAAAATATGTTTTGTACATTTTGTCAAATTTCTCGAATACGGACCACTTTAGGAAAATTTTGTATAAATAATAATATTGTAAGTCCATAAAGTAACGCATAAATTCATTATTGGCTAAATGAACAATAAAATTAGGAATTCCCAAAACAGGTCGATTTTTTATTTCAATTTACTATTGTTTCAAATCATAATCTAATATACAGGGTGAACCACTTTCGTGTAATGACGTCATCACCATTTTTTTCAAATGGAACCCCCCTTTTTTTTCAATTTCCAAATTGCCTTTGCTGAGCTGATTCCAAAAATGTATAATATGTTGCTTCAAATTGGTACAGGGTGGGCAAAAATGCAAAAAAAAATATGAAAATTGTTTATGGGAAGTAATACGTTACTGAATGTAATAAACAAATTAAATGGAATTATGTAGTTATGCACATTATGGTACTCTTGCATCCAGTGTGGATTTTCATCAGACCAATAACGGGTGTTTTGCCGGTTAACATGACCGTTCAAATAAAACGTTGCCTCGTCCGAAAATAAAACGTTATCAATGAAATTGTTATTTTGGTTCATCATATACTCGCAGAATTCAGTTCTTCGGTCAAAGTCGTCTTCAGCCAATTCATGGATGAGACGTACTTTATAAGGATGGTATTTTACCTTTTTGAAAATGTTTGATACTGAAGACTTTCCAATACCAAAATCCCTAGATAATCCTCGCACTGTACAGTGTGGATTTTCTACAGCCGACAAAATTATGTCTTGTTGAATATTTTCATCAATTTTTGGTCTACCTTGCCTTGCTGCATCCCTCACATGTCCTAATTCTCTGTATTTTCGCTCTATTCTACTTACCGTAGATTGTGAAATAGGTTCACGATCTGGGTGCATTTCATGGAATAATCGGCATACCTCTTGTTGAGTCCGCATCTTATCGCCAATACCAATCATCATTAATATTTCAATCCTGTCACTTTCGGTTAAAGGCATTTTGTAAAAAAAGTTCACGAACGTACCTTCTCTACAGCGTTAACAATACGAAACTGTGCTTCAATGTTTTTGACAGTGTTGTCAAATAAAAAAAACTGG